TTAACTGAAAGGTAGAACTGGAACCACTGACGTAGAATCAATCCAAAACAAGACCTGTTTTCAAACACCAGAACTGCAACAGTCTTCTTGAGGCACGTTTCACCAGCCGACTGGTGAAAGTGAAAGTTTTTTTGAACGATAACAACATTCTCCAAATGGACTATCTTCAGTGTCATTGCTTTTCGAGTTTGAAAGCCGGGGATTTTTGGAATTTCTTCCTGACGTTTTGCCATGATGGTTAAACCTCTGAAGAAGCTAGCCACTCGCGCCAGCGAAATGTCAGGAAGAAATTCCAAAAATCCACGGCTTTCAAACTCGAAAAGAAATGACACTGAAAACCTCAGCCGTGAAAGTCTAAACCATTTTGTGGACTATCTTGTAAAGCAGGTTACAAAACTGTCTTTTTATTTTCAGACATATGATTCATATTTTTTTTCAGTTAAAATGATTCACAGTTACCACCAAAATTCTATATTGAGTGAATCAAATACCAGAAATTTGATGTAATTTTCTTTATGCAACAGCTCGTCGATATGACTACCGGTAACCATGAAACTGTAAACATCAGTTTCGTTTCAGAATTTCACACTCTGTATGTAAAATATTAATTCCTATCCACAGAGGCACTCCTAGACGTGTTTCGTTCCATTCATTAACTACTGCAGTGCGTAATAGTAATATTTACAAATTCCACTCTCTCGTAATCACCATAACATTTAATGCTGGTCTCAATTTTCCAGTTCATTTCGTTTAAAAAATGGTGATCAGATTTTTCAAGCCTTTTAATTAATTATGCTATTATGGTTTGGCTATTATGTCGACGTTAATATTATTTTGGTGTTCAGTTTTTATGGACAAGTGTTAAGGTAGAAAAATTTCACCACTTCTTAGATTTCAACAATTGAAATCATGGGCTATCCTCAGTATACTAGTTATAAATCACACATATTATTTTTGTCGATCTTATATTAAGTCTTCCTCGGCCCTCTTTTCTCCTCTGATTTACTTAAGACCAATTTTGGAAATCTTCATTGTGGCATTCTCCACACATGATTCAAATTATTTCATAAAATGAAGTTTAATTAACCAAATAGTCAATTCAATTAGCAAATTAGCGCGCTCCTTAAATATTTATGAAATGAAATAACAATTTATAGGCCAAAAATGAAATATATGAAATCATAAGTGTTTCGTTCAGTAAGGCGTATTAGCTAACACATTTCTCAAACACCCGAACAGCAATAATCTTCTCGACGCGCGTTTCATAAACCAAATTGGCCCCTTCAGGTGATGAAGGGAACTGATTCCCAAACTCTAAAAATGGCCTCTATTCGTATCCAAAAGGGTACACTTTGACCTTTTCTTTCCGACACACATCAATGATGTTTGAAGGTGGTTGGAACGTAAATATAGTGTCTCGGTTATGTTTCTTGTATTACAATAATGATTTTAAATTGATGGGGTATATTTTTAGATGGAATAATTTTTGGGAAAGGAAGGTTTTGGTATTCTACTTCCAAAGAAAGGAAAGAAACAAAGAAAGTTAACAAAAGTTAACTCTATACAAAGATGTGTTGATCATGCAAAGAAATAACTTTCAGACACAAACTCTCGAAACAGCTACTTTCATATAAACATTGAATTACACGAAATAAATATACTTAAACAAATTCTTTCATTTAATTGAGGCATCCAATCGATAAAATTATCAAATAATTTGCAAATTTTGAATAATCAAGTTGCCTTACTTTGGATCCCCTTTTTTTTAAAGGATAAAGCGCCTCAAGGCGCTCTCAAAGCGCTGCCTGTGTGAATGTAGTGATTCACATTCGATTTGAATCGCTGGGTATTAAATCCATTTGGAAAAACGTTCCCAGGAAGTTTATTCCACAAGAACGCAGTTTTCCAGATGAAAGAGTTCTTAAATAGGAAAGTTCGAGGTGTACTGAGTTGAACGTCAAAACGATGAGCAGCCACAGTCCATTGCGTATTTCTGATATGTACCGCTCTTGGGGGAATTAAATGTGCCAAGTAATTTGAACACCTCCTATGAAAGGATCTATAGAAGGAAGACAAATCTGTAACCTTCATTCGATGTTCCAGGCTACGAAAGTTGCACGTGATATTCGCGTCTCCAATCAGGCGGATGGCTCTTTTCCGGATGGAATCCAGCAACTTCAGGGTATGTTTGGGGGCAGAGCTTCATACACGAGAGCAATACTCTAAAGAAGGTCTGACCTGAGCTTTATAAAGAATCAAAAGTTGCTGAGGTGTGTACAGTTTTCTGGTACGGAACAGTGTTACAAGCTTTTGAGAAACAGCCTTTGCAACATAATTGTGCCAAGACATATTGGTGTCCGTTCTAAGCCCCAAAAAACTTATCGAAGCAGAATTGTCTGACCTGACATTATTATATCTGGCTCGGAGATATTCATCTTCTTGGAGAAAAGCGATGCCTGGGTATTTGTGGCATTGAATTGAACCTGGTTACTTTCAACCCAATTCGAAGTCACTTCTAGATCCTCATTAAGATATGCAACCTCCTGCTGCCGATGAAGATGTGCTGTTGTCGGCAAAGCAATATATTGGATTCTTGGTTTTTTCCAGTCGTTGATATAAAATAAAACACCAGCGTTGATGGTGAAAATATTCGAGATATATCCATCGATGGTCACTTACAGGGAACTTCTTTCAGGAAGCTGAAGAGCCATACACAGAAATGATCCGACAAGCCATAGCAACCCCTCATGCAAACACTCATGCCACACACAGTCAAAGGCCTTAGAAATATCAAGCGTCACAGCTCTTGATTCACCATGTTTCTGGATTGCGTTATTCCAAATATGGATGACATACGATAGAAGGTCGCCTGTTGATGTTTGTTTCCGAAAGTCATATTGATGTTGAATCCTTATACATATTTGAGAATATGGTGGTCTACGACTCTCCATGATTTTTGATATCACTGATAGCAAAGCGACTGATCTATAGTTATTTGGAAGATTTTTTCTTGCCCTTTTTGGGAATAGGCTAAACGCAAACAATCTTCCAACGAGGAGGAAAAACCTCTTTCTTGTAAGACAGGTTGAAAAGTTTGCAAAATACTTCATCAGGGCCAGATGCCTTGTTGAAATTGAGCTGGTTCAAAACTCGCCTGACTATACGCTGTCGAGAAGTAATTTCCGGCATTGTGGATTCTAGTGTGGGAATAGTGGGCGGTGTCTTTCCCAGAAAATCGACTGTGGAGTGGGACGCAAATTATTCAGCTAGTAGATTTGCTTTTTCTATGGCTGTTGTTGTAATTGCACCATCCGCTGGTATTAGTGGTGGAATTGTAGATTTTGTATAGCTCTAATTAACAGCTTCAGCTACCGACCAGAAGGATCTAGACCTCCCATATAGGAATAGGAGGCAACGAAACAGTTGACCGAAGCGCACGTGAGGCAATAATAAACCCGAACCAGGAAGACTCACAGCTCACTTTCTACACATGTTTGAAATCATATATAAAAAGTTTGCTGAGGGATTTCTGGAATAAAAAATGACAAAATACATATTCCTAACCCAAAGAAATCAAAACAGCGGTAGGACTGTGAGATCATGGAACTCTGACGAGAAGAGAACAAGTGATTGTGACTCGACTCAGAATATGACTTACTCATGAATACCTGATATCTCGAGGAGAGGAACCACATTATCAAATTTGTGATATGCCACTTACAGTTAAACACATCATAACGAAATGTCCGATGTTTCAAATAGATAGAAACAACTACAATATACCTTAAGATTTGAAAGAAGCTCTAGGACGACATCAAGTGAAGAATATGATATGCTTTTTAACTGCTTTGAACCTCATTAGGAAATTGTAACTACTACCTATGGATTTGTAGTAGACATACTCCGCCGCTAATAACAACAGGTTTATGCGGGTGATTGTGAATAAATAAAAATTAAAAAAATGTGTATATGAACACTGAATTACAAATTCAATCACGTGTCGAAGTTTCAAAATAACGGTTTGGTGTTGGGATAAAACTCCAGTCATTACTACACCAAAGGTTCCAAACAGTGCATTAGAAGTACTGAATTATACAAAAATACTTTATTTAATTGAGTTTGTATTCCAAACATTTTTTTATGGAATTGAATCAGATATAATTCATAGGATTGCTACACAATATAGTGTATGAAAGAAGTAAAATTTCACTCACATGAAAAACTGTCATTCTCTTGGTGGACATCCATGTTTCAGTTTGTTGCTGAAGAGGCAATGAGACAAGTTTCTTATTCCAAAACATCGATGTTCGCTGTGAATTTTACTAGTTTGAACTTCCGTTGACTAATATGGTTCTGATATGATTCGAAATCTATGAATAACAAATAAAATTAGAATGAATAGCTAAAATATCAATTACATTAAGCAATATAACGTGAAATGAAAATATAATAAAACGAATAAAACAGTCAATACAAGATAAAAATGACCACAGAGTGAAAATAAATAAAAATGAGATTGATTAAAAAATTAGAGAAATTAATGAAATAAAAAAAATTCAAACCAAGTTACTTCACGAAGTTTCGATTGTTAGTATTCGGGTGATGACTGGTGATGTCCGACATTGGAAATGACATTGGTCCATCTAAGTGAAATTGTTTAGTAATCCTGTGAAAGATATCTGATCAGTTCCATACCGAATGTTTGAAGTACAAACTGAATAGGAAAAAGTTTTTTTGTATAATTTCAATGTTCATATATAAGTAGTTGTTTCGAAAGTACTATTTCTTTCCTGAAGTTCAATGTTTATATAAAAGTAACTGTTTCGAGATAGCTGTTTCCTCCAATATGCGTCTGCTTTCTTCCTTCCTTTGGAAGTTTCTACATTTTTTGTTCAAAGATAGAGAAGTAGAAAGACTTTCTCTCCACTAATAATTACACATTGTTATGTGTATAAAGGTGCCCTGTTGAATAAAATTATTTGCTAGTAAAACTAGTTATAGTGGTTTATTGATATATACTGCAAATTGGTCTCCCAGTAACCTATTCAAACTAAGTAATCCCAACATATACTATCAATAACAACATTTGCTCATTTACAAAATATTTCCAAATTTCTAATGGTTCCTTGAGTGATCTTGTAGGTAATCTTGTGGTAGGCGAGTAACTTTATTTTCAGATATGGTTCGTACAGTTTTTGGTGGTACATTTTTTCTCTTCTTTGTTATCTTATCTCTTCATACATAATGAAACATTTATTTTCTTCTTCACCATCATCACTTTCGTTTTCACCATCAGCACTATCGGAAACTTCCTGTTCAGTATCGGTATCCATTTCTCTCGTTTTCACTAAATCTTCCTTTTCAGACGATTGTCTATCATCATAGATAACGCTGTCCCCATTCTCCTCCATCATAAATTCTTGCATCATCTTTTCTAGGCATGCCTGCTCCCTCTCATTGTCACCCATGACTGTAAAATGTTTCAATAAAACATAACAAGTCTAAATAATAAAAAAAACTTACTTTTGTCAAAAATTGTTCCTTTGCAAAATATAAATAAAAGTGGCTTCAATACCCGCTTCGGTCCGTGAAATCGAAAATGTAGATAACATACACAAATGTACAAGAATCAACTTCAAATTACGTGCTGGACTTTATTAGATAGATTTAGGAAGGTACTGAAACAGAAGATAATTTCATGCATGCGTTAAAAATGCTTTACTAAATTTCCTTCAGTGCTGGTATCATAGACCGTGAACGGATACTGCAGGGTTAAGGAAAGGAAGTTGACTATTGTGTTCAATCTCTATTAAAACTTTATTGTTGGTTTCTATTCGCTAATGTAACTCAAATTAGAGAATGAACCTTTTTCCTGAAGTACGAAAAATCACTCACTAGCAGCGCTAGTAGTTCAATAGGGACAAACACTGCCTAAACACATAAAAAAGAATGCTTTTAACAGAAGAAGATGTTCCTGGAGCAAAACTAAAATTTGCAACTGTAATGGATAACAATGTTGTAACATTAAAACGTTGGCTTGCATGCCGTAATTTAAAAGTAACTGGAAAAAAGTGAATTGATAGACAGGTTAGTATACAGACTCTCGTAAAAGAGTAGCGGTAGATTCAAACTGTAATACATGAATTTGAAAATAATTATGAATTTCAGATTTATTTCCGAGTGAAATATAATAAAAGACATGTTTTTTTCCGGCAATGCTTTGTTGGCATTATACTAGCACAAAATAGTTTTTTATGTCAGATTTATATTTTTAAATAATGAATTAATATTACGTAAATAACACTGTTTTACATGTGAATAGTTTATGTTTGTCCCTACTTGTGACACGTTCGCTGTACTATTCTCAGGAAATAGGCTCATTATGGCTTTTATTCGAAATACCAAAAACATCATATCTGCACCAAACTTTGGTGGAGAACTGTTGTTTCAGACACATTGTCATATTTCGAATTTCAAAACTTAATATTTCAAGACTCCTTTGACATCTGTCGAGGACGTTTGGAAATAAAGCGAACCAGCGAAGAAAATCCGCGAGTATCTTTAGATTTTTTCAATTCCGAAACGTTAAGATAAGCATTTGTATAATTTTTCAAACTCTTTTTTTGATACGCAAAATTATGAAATGCGACTCATGAAAAGAAAATATTTGGCCCAATCACGAGAACAACTTGTGAATTAACTGAGTTTGAATGTCAATCGTATTAAATCGATCTGAAACTCTCTGTGATTCATAACCACACATGGTAATATTTACTTTTTGGACAATTGAATGTGTAGTAGGGTCATAACGCTATATAGATTTGTTGAAAGTTGAAGTCACCGGATTTGAACGAAACGGCTTTAGTATTATATTTCTGCATTTATGTTTACCTGATCATATTTCATGTTCTCTAGGGCCATTTATAAAAAACCAAATGGTCTCGTTCATTTACCGACAGTATTTATCACTCATTTCACCCCTTTATACAAACACAAACACATAACGAATATCTACACACCCCATCCCTTATCGCCAATTTCCTACATTTGCTCGATGAATTCGTCAATTAAAATTCAAGTATTCTCTATTTTTATAGGGACCCCTATAACTGCGTATGGTCGAGTTGATTTGACTACCACTAGGGTGTGATAAGCGGCATATTAGTTCACAAGGGAGATACTCAAAAGTTAGTATTACCCCTCATGGATCACTAACCACATCTGAGCATATGTCATGTCGAGAAGCCTATTAAATGCCGGTTGGTACGGTGATTAATACCAAGGGTGTAGAACTCGGGTAGGGCGGGACACTGGAAAAGTTACCAGTAATTGAAAGATCACTTTATAATCACTTCATATGATATATAACGACAAAGCATTGCGATTCAGTGTTGAAATTTTCACAAGAACAATTTTAAATTTGCAATTGTTGGGTAGTATGATACATTCATCAAGTGGGAAAACATTAAACAATGGTCGACAGTGAAAGTGGACACTTTCCATCGGAAGCAAACTATTTTGTGTATACCGTGAGAACAAATATTAGTAGAGTAGTTAGTGTCGGAATCGAAGCTTTATTTTCTAAGTATAATTGTTGTTGGTTATTTTTGTGACAATTAAAGATTTTGGACTTGCTGCACTACTTTAAAAATCAATGATACCGTTTGTCAACTTTCATTACAGAATTTCTGAAGGTACTCATTTGGTAGTTTCAGAAACTACTATAATATTTTTAATTTGTTGTTTCCGAGTTTCTTAGCCCTCTCATTTTTTAAGGCCCGATATTTCGAATTCTACTGCGACAGACATCATCAAAAGTGAAGCAGCAATGATTGAAGTGATCTACATTGCTGCTTTACGCAAATTGGAAATGCCGATCAATCTCATTCGGTGGTCGATGAAGAAGCTTGATTTTGCAACATTCAGGGAGTCTAGTTTACATTCATACTGTCGATCCCAAGGATGGCATATTGCAGGAAAGAATTTTACTATTTACAGCTTTTCAAATGTAGGAAGAGCTCTATTAATTTCGATAGGGTCTAGGAAACGCGTAAGAAATGAGAATTCTCAAGTCGATTTCTAGTTTTGACAACCTGTACATAAAGCTCAATGATTGATAATGGTTCTGAAATCCAACTCACTTAAAATTAAAGCAATGAAGTATTTCCTGACCCCTACCAATGCTAACTGAAATCTTTCGAGTAAATATCATTTCAATCATTAGAAAACAAACTGAACAGAGATATTAGTTAATATGAACTATTCGTAAAGCAATTGTTCCGAATTTTTGATCAACTGATTTGCGAGCATTCTAGGACCTTTCAAAAGCAAAAATATTTCCTAAAAAATTTCAATATTATCTTTTATGAAAGACTTTAATCAACTGCTGAATATATCGGTCTTGGTTTTTAGTATTTTCCAAATTGTTCATATTAGAGTCGTTTTCATTTCATTTTATTTTTTCATCAGTATCTATGGAATTGAGACTCAATATTCGAGTATCAAAGAAACGCGGCTCCCCAAGGCGATCAGTTACAAAGCTTCGAAATCCACTGCCGGAGAGATTCATACTCTTTCTTTCTCTGTAGCTCCTGAGACCACTAGCAGATACTGGAGACAAAATACAATTCACTCATGATCCAACACTAGATAGCGCTATTTCGATCCACCAAAGTCTCATCAGATGTACTAGGTTGATGCAAGTCTTTGAAGAATAAGCGTGAGTCAGTCAGTTGTAAAGCCAAGCTTTGACATCGCCCACGGCGTTTTCAGGTAGATCAAGAATTACCCACATTTACATTACCCACATTCAAAGAAAGCATTTATCATGGTTCAACATAATAATCTTCTGAAAGTGCTCTAAAGTTTTGTTTTCAGAGCAACATCATATGAATTGTTGTGCAGTTACTTGATAGACCGAAGATAATGCGTGAAAATGAAATATATCTTTAAAGCTTTCGAATATTTTGAATATGTTGTGCCCCAGAGAATCGTATTAAGACCGATGTTATTCAATACTTTCCTATATAATATTTTTGCACTAGATATGGAAGAAAACATTACTAGTATTTTTGATGACACCGCAATAGTTTATATCTGAAATTCATGGGAATCTCTCCAACAAAAATTTGAAAAAATTTCAAAATTACTATCGGATGGATTGTGAGAGCAGACTAATTGGTACCAATAGGAAAACTTCTCACGTCATACATCAAATGTCTATCTTACTTTCGATTCAGTTTTCATGATACTTGAAAATCGAAATATCTTTATCATCTACGTTTGAAATGAAAATTCTTGGTGTATAGATGGATATCCACTTGAAATGGGATGCCCAAAAAATTTGCTGGGTAGCCTATTACTCGTATTTATTACAATAAGGCAAGCAATACTCAACACATAAGAGCTTATTCAAATAGATCACCATTATACAACTCGCTACAAAATAAATTCATCTATGTAATGACTATATAATGTTATTTCAGTAGATTTGAAAACTGAAAGAAGCACTACCTCATTGAAAACTAACCTGAAACAATGAATCATCAGCTTGCAAGGTTACAAATTGACCAATGTGATGATATGAAGAACATATGTATCAATTTTGTCGATATGAGGAGATAGTAATGGATATTACATATCCAGGATATCTGTATCTGTATCTGTAGAGTACGGAGGGCCAGTGTAGACCCACAGCACTTAGGGTACATGTGACCCATTGTACATCCCTATGAGGAGTTGTCATCCTAGGCCATCGCCCGATCTGTCCTTGCCACGAAGGTGGACAGGTCTTTTATATTGGCAGGTGTAGGCCAATACTCGCTGAACACACACTCTCTTTGGCAACCTTGAGGTGTCTCGCGGTGGCCTCCGCGAAGATTCTGGAAGGTGCAGCGACATTACTGTCGTTGCGCGGCTACTTCAACCTTCTTGGGGTTCCCTCCGTGAAGGTGCAGGGGAAGCCGGTTCCTTGCCTTTATTCAAGGCGGAGCTCTTGGCGCCCGCTGCAGGAAGTACCCTTGCCGTTGGAGATGAAGTGGGGGAGGAGGAGGGTGCACTTATAATTGCTGCCACTCCTGCCTCCTTCGCTCTCTTTCTCCTTTTGGCCTCAGCGCCGCAAATACACTTACGCTTTGGCCTTTGTATTACATCACGAGGTGATCTGCTATGTCCAGCCTCATTCCAAGCGGTAGATTGGGGTGGACATTTCTGTTCATCCACAGCCTCACATTGAGGTAAGCACTTCTGTCCAGCCTCGGGATTGGTTTTTGTTTTTTCTGTTTGTTTCATTCATGTGTGTTCCTACGAGTAGCAAGGGAAGAGTAGATCACCTCTGGCAGAGCCCCGCAATATCCAGGATATATCAAAATGCCTAAGCTTTACATCTGTTCAAATCTATTTTTCCGTTAACCAGCAGTCGCCTCCCTACTAACGACAAACCTCAGAAGTTGAAACGTGTGTGAGCTACGGATTGAATGTGTCGAACGAATCACTCACGCCAACCGAACCCGCTATCGTCATACTCACATTCTGGTATGAACTATCCTTTCAGAATAATTCTCCACAATATATGTTTTATTTCATTTCATTTTGTCATTGTTTATTTTATTGATATGTGTATATTTCCTATTGTGTTTGTACATTGTCAATTTTTTTTTGTATTTCAATGTTAAACATT